ACACATTTCTGTGGCGTTTGCTTCCCCGAGAAAGTCAAATCTCTTCTTTATTGTAAATGGAGACCTGTGTAGGAATTTTTGCTGCTGGCTTCCGTCCTAAAAGAACACAGACGACCCTTCACCCTCACAGGTTTGCAGCTATGAGCAACCCGCTTTTGCTATATGCACACAGCTACGCGAACCAGCTATAATACAAAATCTCTACTCAAACCATAAAGCGTGACTTGATGGGATGCAGACAGTGGACAGGCAGTGATCTGGAAAGCGCCCATGTCACGGAAGCATCTGACTGCCCTACCGTGTGAAGCGACGACGAAATAGCCTCAAAAACACACCGTGTGCCAGCCATTATATCTGAAGTGATATTTAAAATGGAGAAGAAGGTCCCGCCCCCTCCCAAGCCTCCTGCGTCGAAGGCAGTCGTCCTGGTGGGCAAAGGACCCCCACCAGCATCAGGGCCTCCCAAAGGGGCTCCTCCAGGGGCCAAAATTGCTGTCCATGGCAGTGGCCCTCCTCCAGGAAAAGCTTCCTTGCCAAAACCTCCAGCATCCGGTCTCGCGGCAGCGGGAAAGCTCCCGGCGGCGACGAGCACACCTCCCAAAACACCCTCGGTATCGAGAAAGGAAGCTACCCCTTCGGAACCACCGGTAGGCGGGCCCACGAAATCGTCTAATGCTCCGTCTGTCCTCCATGACACTTCAGTGAAATCTCCAGCGTCGCCAGGATCACCTCCCAAAACGCCTGTGGTCCTGAATAACGCAGTCGCTCCCCCGAAGCCTCCACTCGACGGGCTCGCGAAACCTGCGAAAGCTGTGCCGAATGGACCTCCTGTAGCCCTTGCTAAGCCTCCAGCTACTCTTAGCTCACCACAGAAAACGCCTGTAGCCTCAAAGGACGGAGCTGCTCCTCCGAAAGCACCGGCAAGCGGGGCGGCAAAATCCTCTAGTCCTACGCCGCCTAGCCCCTCTGCAGTTGTGGGGAAGCCTCCAGCTTCCAGTAGCTCACATCCAAAGTCGCCGTTAGTGTCAAAGGACGAAAGTGCTCTTCCGAAGCTATCAGTGGGCGAGGTCAAGGAACCAGCAACTCAGCATAGCACTGCTGCAAAAAACGATCTACCAAAGCCTCCGCCACCTACTTCAGACGCAAGTTCAGCAAAATGTCCACCTAGTACTTCTTTTCTGGTGAAAGACTCTCCAAAACCATCTCTGGATAAGTCTCCAGGTAATTCCAAGACGGCCACTCCAAAGCCTCCCTCCCTCTTGGGATCTCAGAAACAAACGCCCCCCTCCCTACCAACGGCAAAGGGAGGCTCCGTAGGCCCACCAGGATCAAAAACCCAGGAAGACAAAAGTATCGCTTCCCCACTGGCAGCTAAAGCTTCCCCAGATCCGGGACTTCCCAATACAGCAAAAGTCGCTCCCGGTCCAACTCCACTAGAAAAGACTGTAGAACCACCTACTTCAGCGGCAGGCGGCAAGGGGCCTCCTGGGCCTCTGCATGCAGGAAAAGGATCACCTGGTCCGCCGGAAGAACCAAAAGTCTCACATAGCTTGCCGGTAAAGTCAAAGGCACTAGGCAGTTTGCAGACGGCAACAAAGGGGACTCCTGACTCTGGCCTTCCAGCAGGAACCAAGGTGTCTCCTGGACCAGAAGCTGGGTCTACTCAGCCAGCAGCACCACCGGATGACCAGCCGACAGCAAGAGGAGTGAATGTCTCAAAGGTCGTTCCCAAGCAGGGACCTCCCAACGGAGGTAGCTCAGGCTTTCCAATTGCCTCATCTACTCCTGTTGCCTCTGCAACCTCCAGACCTACCCAGGTAGCTCCTGAGAGTAAGATTGGGGATACTGCTTCAGGAGGCAGTAGATCTGCACAGGCGTTTTCTAGCGGGGTGAGAGCAGACTAAAGAACCAATACTGAACACACTCGCCTGAGCATGTGGCCTATGTGCAGAAATATTAGGGAAAGGCTACTTCTCTACGTGTTCGGATTCGTCTCATTTTTCAGGGCTCTCTGAATATGGATGAGTATGGAAGGCAGCGAGGCAGCGTAGGGAACTTGGCGCCTAAAAGCGAGTTGTCCCACGACCTTGCAGGGAACGTCATCCCCGTATTTGACAAGGAGTAAGCGCAGATTTGTGCATTAACTGTCTGGCCCGTAGTCCACCGTTTGTGGGGCCGTTTTAGCCGCACTCCCAATGGCTAAGCTGCCATTCCTTGAAGAAGGTGGATTCAGGCTGAGTGAAACGCATTGGAAGTGCCCGCATGCATCATATCCTCCGAGACAAGCACACTGGTAAAGTGCACGCGTGCAGTAGAAATTCTGATGGTGTGTACATTTTCGGCTGAGTGCTTGTGTGTTCTTTGCTGTACATTAGGGGAAAGTTTGTGGCTTTCACGTCGGGCCCGCCAGCTCCACTTTCCCGCTCGGATCCAGCCAGGCGATGTGTGTGAAGCCCTTTCATCGTTCAAGATGCGTGTCCCCCTTTAGATCGCTTCCTTTGTGGTTATGGTCCGAGTCAAGAGATTCGCGCATATTGCTGCTTGTGATGGTACACGTGTGCACAGCGCGCCGCCTGTCCGACCGCAGACCTGAAGAACGAGAAGCAATGAAAGGACCATTCGAGAGGGGAATTGATCAAGGAGCCCTAGGAGGCGTGAGAGTTCCTGGTGGGATTCCTGGCTTCTTCTTGTCAGTTCCACCATGGCCAGCTCCCACCCCAATGCCAATGGACCAGTCCCCTGGTTGGGCTGCCTATCCTCCAATCCCGAGCTATTCTATGCCCCAGGTATCCCCTTATGCCGCTTTTCTTCCCCAGCCACTCTCGCAAGTCCCCTATCCCATGATTTACGCACCAGGGGGTGAAGATGGAAGCCAACACGGCCTTCTGCCACAGCAAGGCAGTTTCCGCGGGGCTGCGTGGCCAGGGTATCCCCGTCAAACGGATGCAGCTGATGTTCGTGGTTCAAGCTTTATTGGTATGAGAATGGTCCCAAGAGTTCATTATTGCTGCCTAGACACCGCAGCGACAGCACCTGTCAACGTTCTTACCTAAGCGTTTAAAGTTCTTGACTATGGACCGTAGCAAGTTCACATAAGTTGTTTAAATGAGTGTTTTTCATTATAGCTGCCCGCACCTATCCCTACGTGACTGCAGCCCCGCAAGAGATCTCCCAGCAGAAAGATGGGAAGTCTCAGAAAGGGTGAGATAAAAAAGCGCATAGTGGTGCTCTGGAGATCCGGGAACTAGATTTCTTTTGGGTATTGGGATGTTTGTTTGTCAAACCAATGGAACACAATGCTCCCTTCTTCTGAAGCAAAGCAAATTACCCTTTAGTTTTCATGAAGCGGTCGACGGAAAGCCTTGCTAAGCTGACTGTCTAGATGATACCCTCCTCAATTTGCCTTACGTTTATCACGACGGGGTGGAGACTCCTGAAACGGACTGCCCTCCCTTCCTTTGTTGTCTCGCTGCTCATTAGCGTAACGGAACTCGTGGCTCAGATGAATGGACCTCGCGCTAGAGGCTACATGGTCGCGAGCGGCGATCACGAGCTGGGGAAGACCAAATGGCTACCAATAGAACGACACGTGAGTTACCACAGTGTCAATTTTATGTCAGAGTCATTGCTGACCTTCAAGCTATTTTCAGAAGACATTCATACATAGTTACTCAATGCTGCTTCCTGGTTTTATAGCTCAATAACATCAGGGGAGGGTACGGCGAGTCGTACCGGCCGCCTGAAGAAGCTGATGGACCCCCAAGGAAGCCATCGAATAGAGCCAGGCGCAGAAGCTCCAGTGTGAGGGACGACGTTTACTCGGGCTTTCGACCGTACTATTCTAGGGAGAAGAAGCCATTCGTTGATGAAGTGATACCCCGGTATGCAAAGGGAAAATGAAATGGGGAAGGAAACAAAAGTGGGCAGCTGCTTGACTACGCAGCGTGGCTGAACCGGAATAGAACAGCAAACGCCTTAGCTCTTTTTAGAGCCATGCATAAGAATTTCTCATTGGCAAAGCAAGTTCGTACTGTCCAGACAGTAACCAGTCCCACAATGGCCAAGGTGTGGAGCACTGGTGTTTACTTTCTTTTCCGATGACATCTGAAATCGAGGCCCATCAACCGGAGCGTCATGTCGGTAAGAAAGCGTCTGATCCAGAGGGCCTTCCATTGAGCTGCTCTGTGAAATCCGTGTCAGGTATGCGGAGCCGCGCGAGCCTTCTGGCAGTAAGCCTACGGCGCCTCGGAAAAGTGCACTGATGACTAGGCCCAAAGATCGCACTTGGGATCGCTGGGGGTCGACTGGATTGACCGCGCCTCGAAAGTAATCCTTGCGATTCCTCTTTTTCGTCCTTGAAAACTTATTTCATTGTCTGCATACTGATTTTCCGTGTTTCTTCGTGAGACACTAAGGTGCCAACACTGCTTTGGGTGTTCGGAACTTATCAGGCGAACGTACCAAAGTCTCTCAGAACTGGCGAACTGTTTCTCGAATCTCGACGCTGAAGATCAAGAAGACGTCATCAGTCTTTTGTTACTTTGTAGGAAGTGCGCGACCGGTTCAATTTATTATCCGTGCTGGACTACTTATTTAATTTGTTTTTCATTTTGAAGTTATTGCTACGCTTCAGCGCCCCAGCTTGGTACCCTCCAATAGTCCACGAATGCTGTACGGAGACAGGGGCAGGCTCGTTTCCATGGTTTGCTTGTGACACTTGGGTGCCTGTGCAGGCTCGAACAGCAAGTGGAGAAGCAGCACGTTGTAATAGATATGCTGGAACACGATTTGTCAGAAGCCCAGAAAGTTCTGAAGTTCCCCCCAGAGTGGCGGCCACTTGAGGGCCTAGACTTCGCAGGAATGGCTCCTTCAGGTAGGCCAGTTCGGTTTCTACTTTACCAAACCACATAGTGAAAAGTTCTACTGTGCGTTCCTTTGTTTTAAGTCTACGGAGTAATCTAAATGCAAATGGTGCCGAATAGTTCGAGTGTGAAGGAGCGATGGCCGCATGCGACAAGCATCTTCGGTGCAGTTTCTGGCATTCCTGCACAGACGCGCCGTTCCAAGCAACAGCCGCAACACCGCTATACATAAAGAACGCGACTGTGCTACCCGTGAATATACCCGACGATCCCGTCGCCAACATTGGGGTTGGAGCCCCCACGACGGGGCAGAGCAAAGCGACGACCGCAACCCGCCCCATTCCAGCCAAAACGCTTTCCGCGCCATCCACAGGAGCCGCCACGGGCACTCTTGATACTCCAAAGAAGCCTCCAGTTGCCTTCAAACCAAAGCCTCCAGTAATGGGAGTTAAGAAGCCCGTAGTTAAGAAAATGTAGCCAAATCTTTCTACTATGAAGTACTGATATGTGCGTACAGAATCTCTCTCCCGCGTACACTCCTTCTTTCGCTTACAGGAAGTAGACTCTGATCGTTTCAAGCGCACTGCGAGTGCCGCAGCTGCAAATGTATTACAGCAGCACCTATCTTTGATTCCTACTGCACTGCACTCAGTACAGGGCGACAAGTGCGGTCCTTGGTCGACAAGAGAACACAAGGGCACTTTAATAATTACGAATAGACAGTTTCGGTGCACTTGTCGCTGCAAAATTTAGCCGTAGGCAGCACTTCTGAGTTCCCAAACAAAGCATATTGAATCTCGAAACTCCTGCCTCACAGCCACTGCCATTCGAAAACCAGACGCCTCTATGCGGCAACTTCCTGGTCCAAATGCAACAAGTGCAGCGAGAGCCTTCAGAAGACGCTCCACAGTCTCCGTTTGCTTTAGATACCAGTGACAAATTTGAGCATGTGCACACGCACACGGCACCCATGTCTCCACAGGTAAAGACAAAGTACTTCCAGTCACTGTGCCTCCACGCCAATGAAGGGGTTTTCTATGCGCTGCACGCCATCTACTGGCGAGATCAGAACAATGGCGCTTCCACGTGCAACAACGAGGCCTAGAGACCGCGTAGTTTCCAGCAGCCGGCTGGCGTCCTCCGGATCTGCGGGGAGGCAGGGCACAAGTTTTCACAAGCTAGTCACGAGCGTGTGTATTCCCGTTACCCTTCAAGCTGACACACTGCACGCACGCGTGGCCGCTCTTCGCCACTGTAAAAATCATACAGAGAAATATAGGCGTAATTCGGAGAGGCCAGCAGCTCCACTTTAGCAGAGACACAAGGTTATACGCGGAAAACACAAGCCTGAACTTGCAGTCAGTCAGAGCTGCCTGAGCGAAATTGCAAGCACATGTCATCCACACGGAATGGTCTGAGGCGCTTCACGGTACCGTGAAGGGGGAAGTGCCCAGTACCTCTTAAAAACTCTTCCGTGTCGTCCAGCACCAAGTTGCAAACGGCGTCGTGGCCCTTTAGGGTTCCCTCTACTGCGGGCACAAACAACTAAGTACAATAAATGCAGCCCACTAGTACCGTTGAAAACACCGGCAGGTAGATGTTCTGTTCAGGGTTTATAGTGAAGCACCAAACGGGGAGGCTGTGTCCCGGGAAGCCACTCAGGTCTTCTACGAGCTTTCCTGAGCATTTCTAGCCTCGATGTAGATATGCCGTATCTGGTTATGGTGAACTTCTCTAAAGAGACTCACCCTCACGGCCTCCTGAAAACTTCACCCGTACTTTCTTGTTGAGGAACTTGGACGGGTCGATCACCGAGCGAGGGTCCTTGGACGACATTTTGGTGGATTCCTCCACAGGTGCACAGAAGAGGTATTTTGGTTAATTTACCAACAGTGAGTGGCATATTGATCTGAAGCTTCGCGCCCTGGCCGCCGGGCCCCGCGAATGAAATACTGGGCTTGCTTGCGCTGGATGGACTGCCGGTGCGGCTGTTGGCTTTGCAGACCTTAGCACGCATCGCTGCATTCAAAAGTGTGGGTAGTCTGTTAACAACAATGGGGGAAATAATTAAAGGCAACTACTCTGGCTGCGCCCGAATGTTTTATGTGGTACTCGGAAGCTGCCTCTTGCAACCGATGAAGCCCGAAAACGAAGCCCGAAGACGACTCTTCCACTACAATGTGACGAAATCCCAGGGGAAATAAGCATGCAGCAGACATTATTATCTCGCGGTTCGCTGATGACAACAGTTTCTCAAGGATCCTAAGACACTTTCGAGAACTGCCGAGAGCCAGTTTCCACACTCCAGCGCATTAGCGGGTACACCGCCAGCGGAAAAAGACCTAAGCCGCGCGTCTTCATGCCAGTTCGTACGATGTGAACTGAGTGATGATGACTTCCTGAGTGTGACGCTCTTAGTTTGTTCGGGTGCATAGCGACGATCACGGGGGAGTTGAAGGGGTCACGAGGGGAGACAGCCCAAAATTACCTCCACAGGAGTGCCTGGCAAAAGCAGCCGCTGCATCCATGGCAATGACAGCAGCAGCAGTGTGGCTGCATACCTATGTTGACGGTTTCCGTCTTTGCTGCTGCAGGAACTTCCTGCACACAGCTGCAGCTGCAAGAGTAGCGGAAAGAGCAGTCAAGGCCACCGCCGGAGCAGCACACACTTCATGCCAACGCCAACTGTCTTCAGCATCAGCATCGAAGGCGGCCGCTGCACTGGGAGGAAAGTCTAGCGCTGGTTTAGGCTTGCTACGCGCAGCCACGTTGCTCCTGAACAACCCCCCACCACACTACGAGGTGTCCGTACACAAGGGCCTTAAAGTGCAAGCTTCGCTGCTGCTGCAACGGCTACCTTTAGTGTATAAAGAACCAAAACACGAGCAGGAGTTCAGGCTGTTCAAAGAAGAGTGGGAGAGGAGAACTAACAACAGCACAACTCTTAGCGACGAGATAACTTACATGCAACTTCCAGGGCATTTTCTAGAGACTCGACAGCAGCAGCAGCAGCGCGAGCAGAAAGAACGGAGGACAGGGGACGCGCAGATGTCAGAGCTCGACATGCTTTTGCAGCAGGAGGGACTGGCGATTGACAGGCACAAAATGCGGCGGCAGAGACGGCAACACCAGGATAACGCAGTACGCTACAGACACAGTGCGACAGCAGCAGCTGCCATAGGGCGCTTGGCCCATGTATCAGACAAGCCTGGCGGTTTCGTCTTGTTGACGATTTGCAGGGAGTCCCAGTGAGTGCCTCAGCAGCAGCGACAACAGTAGCGGAAAGGGAGGACCAATCACTTTCTCAGCTTCCTGAGAGAGTACTGCTGCTACTTGTCAAGTACGGCCACAGCTGGCAGCTGCCAGTGGAGGACAGAAGGCAAGGACAAACAATGCGTCAGGTGGGCAGGGGGATATCCCAGTAAAGTTCTTCTAACTTGATGCTTTTCAGTGCCATCGCGCCTTCTTCCTCCTGCGTTTTTGAAGGGGCTCCTAAAATTCTATAATGTGTGCGCTACATGGTGGCTGCATGAGCTAGGCGGCTTTCCCCGACTAAAAATTGGAGCGTCTGATCCCAAAAGATTAAGGAGTTCTAGCTCTTTCTGGCGAGCCGTAGCTGCCCCTGAACTGCACTGCTGGGCAGCGCAGAGTCTGTCTTTGCTACACTTTGCATCGAATGTGTAAGGGGATTGGGCTTTACGTTGAAGAATTATCTGCTGAAGTTTTTGTCTTCCCGTGTTGTCGGAAGTCTGTGGTGTCCGGTCAGCGCCTGATCTTGTGCTCTGTTGCTGCTGCTGTTGATGCAGACTCTAGCGCGCTTGTGCATGAAACAACTGGGCCTGCGTGAGGCCCCATTTATGGTCGGTTTTTCTCCGGCAGCGGTTCGACACATCAGAAACAGGCCTGGCGAAGTTATTCAAGGGAGAGAAGTAAGTTTCTTTGTAACTTTCCTTCCAGGTATCTCTTCGTTGGCTATTCCTCGTAAACAGAGGCTATGCTTCCTACAGCGAATTCTCTCATTTTTTTTGCGTTACATGGTCGTGGCCATATTTGTGCCCGGCCCGTGGTTGGCCCATGAAGATGTCGATATTTCTTCTACTGAAGATATTACGGGCTTTTTTGTGTATTGCCGTGAACTAGCTGCTGCTGTTGCCAATGGTGTCGTTTCAGATCTTCTACTACCGTGCTTACCATGTTCCTGAACAGCCTCAGGTTTGTCTTCCAGCAGACAGTCCTGTAAGAGATTGGGCTTGGGTAACGGCAGAAGAGGCTAGAAGGCGCATGCCCGCAGCTGGTTTTGCTGCCGTAAGGGACTCGCTTTTGCTTGGCTGACCGGTGGAAGCAACACTGATTACAATGGCAGTGCCCTGGGGAGCGTTTTAAAGGGGAAGCAGCCGTTGTTGAGTGGCTTTCTCCTGGCATTCTGGTTCCAGTGCTGCTCGCCCTGCTCAATTATTAGCAAGGGTAGCACCGTAGCCGCGCTTAAATGGCGGGCTCTGTATGACCTTTTGGAAAATCTTTTCACACGCTCTCCTAATGGGTCATATAGCTAGGGAGGATAAGAACTAACTGATGGGAAGTTTTTCAAGCGGCTATAGAGTTCGCTCTAGACAGAAATAAGGTTTATTCTGCGACTGAGTTAGCCAGCAGCACCTAGCCGGTTCGCCACTTAAATGCACCAAAGCTTACGGTAGGGAGGCACACGGTGCTTGCTGCTAGAGTAGTTCGTCGGCCACACCAAGCGTAAGCAAGCCACTGTGCTACACTGGTAGTTTGGTCTGCTGTTGCTTTGCCGTTCAGCAAGCTTTGCACGTCTTTCTTGCCTACTTTTTTAGCTACCTCGGAATAATTTCGAAGTAACTGTGAACAATGATGCGCGTCTGTACCCGCAAAAGGATACTGGGTGTCAAACATGGCTCGTCGTTGCTTCGGCTTGCTCGCAGGGCTCCGTATCCCCTTATCTGCCTGCCTAATATTTGTGTGCCGCTGTGGCGGTGACCTACCTCCACCATGCAGCCGTACCGTCGACAAGTAAAAGACGAGCTCGCGCGGCATGGAAGGTTCGCGATACGAGCGGCCAGTTGTCAGTCCATATTGATGCTCTTTACATGCATCAATAAATAAACGTTCCACGGTTCCCTGCTCTTCCATTTCGGCTGCACAGTGCCTCCCCGGGAAGGCTGTGGGACACCGCTGGTGCTCCCGGCTATTGCTTAGGATATAAAGAACTTCTAACTACACGGTCGTGCATGCGGAATGGCATAACTCCACTAGTGATGTACGCGCATTTGGGTGTCCGCGTTATCCAATGTTTTGCTATCTTCCCCTTCCAAAATTATTTGAAGCAGCGCCCACGAGCTCATTCCAGCGACCTACTCCTGTCTATTCCACGGACAAGAATACACTATCACATTGTCGTCGTGCAGCAGCGCTGACAGCAACAGAAGCTCATTCCAGCGACCTACTCCTGTCTATTCCACGGACAAGAATACACTATCACATTGTCGTCGTGCAGCAGCGCTGACAGCAACAGAAGCTGCAAAGGTAGCACGGAGAAGAGCCAAAGACTTGGGACGTCGGTACGCGGCCGCCAGCGGTCTCCATAAGAACTACGCCTGATTCGTTTGGAACTTTCTTTGGTAGTTCCTTAACGTGTGCAGAATACCTAGGATGTGTACCTAGCTTCTGCAGCTTCCCCCAACTGCTGAGCCAATTCGACTCGGCACGTTTTAAAAGCCAGCCACCCCACTCGGCCTATTCATGTAGAATACGTTCCTTCTTGGGGTCTTGAGAAGCCGAGCCCATGCCCTTTCTGGCGATACTGCCACAGATACCCACGTTTTTGCCTGAGCAAGCAGCAAGCACAAATCCGCGCACAAATTCGCCAGCGCATTGGGGACATCAGCTGGTAAAGGGGCAAGCCAGGTATAAGGGCAACAAGCAAACGCCGCGGAACGGGCCCTCACCAAACATTTGACGCTGTTTATGTACGGTTGATCGCTAAGATCAGGTGCCTAAAGAGCTGCCCGGTCTCTGTCCCTTTTTGTTCGTGAAATCTTGTGGCAAAATCGGGAGCAGTAGCAATGCACATGCACGAACAAACTACCCTCTTTACCGGACGCACAGGCGACGCGGAATGGCTGATGAAAAGGCCGACTACTTGCCAAGATGCTGGTTCTTGATCTTTTCAGGTTTTCTTTGGTCGTGTCTTGTGCTGCTGCAGCATCAGCTGATGCTGCAGCTGCGGCCGAGGCCACTACTCCGCTCAAGTTCAGCAAGAAATGTCAAACGTGCGGCATATGAAAACACCTTAGCTGTTTTTGCCAGCAAAAGAAACTATATTCTCCGCCAGTTGCAGTGGCAAGGCAGTTTCAGGGTCCAGGGGCTGTAAAAGCCTCTTACAAGTCTCCTGCCATCCCTGTCCCTTATGCTGCTGCTCTTGTTGTTGCTCTGACTGCATCCGCCACCGCTGATCCTGCTGCCGCATATCCGTGTCTCCGCTGTTCGCCAGCAAGGAAAGGCCTGCTAAGGCAAAGAAGGTATGGAAAGGGTCGGGAAACCGCATCTGCTCGTCAGTTAAGTCCAGTGCGCCAACATGCAGTAACCTCAACGGGTTGCATGTGCCGTTTCCTTTTTCGCCACTTTCTTGTTTTGTTGTTTCTTGGATTCCCTTGTCATTGCTAGAGGTCGAAGCAGGACCGCGAGAGCCATCCGCTGTTGCTCCCTTCAATACAGCGACCCGCGATATGCCTCCCAACGGATGCTGCGCAGCAGCCACATAGTCAGCGAGAGCACTTGCCTGTAGCAGCTTTAGCGGTTGCTTGCCCATCAGGAGTAACGCAGCAGTCACCCAAAACGTGTAGCAGCTGTCACCTTTCTTTCCAGGGCGGCCTTGCAAAGACCCCTCGGGTAGCTGCCGCTCTCTCAGCCACCTGCAAAAGCAGCCGCCACGGCCTTTTCAAATATCAGCAAATAGCCATTTCTAACGCTGCTTAACAGTCACTATCCTAAGACGTTGCAACTAGAATGAAGCGTCAGTATAGCAAAGCTCACGGTGGCACGCCAATACCTCCACCAACAGCAGACAGCAGGGAAGAAAGACTCACCGCTCCAGCCTCCTCTGCTCGTTGGCGCCTAAAGCATGCCTTTTGCCTAAGAGAGACAAACAACCAACGAGGCAGAAAGCGGCGCCTGCGTGTGGATCCGCCCCAGGGGAGACACCTACACCACCGTCGACCGCTATGAGAGACGTCAGCCAGGAGACTGTTGCATCAACGTGGACGCCAGCAAACGGATTACACATAAAAGCTTCCCAGGATGCATCATGGAAAAGCTTCTCCATTGAGTCAACAGAAATCCCTTCGGGTTCTCTATATCCCTCAAGGCACGAAGCATGCTTTGCACTAGCCGGCAGGGCAGCTACTTCATCTTTATACGATCCTCGACGTTCACGTGCAGCCGCAGACGGCTTCGATGTAGAACTCTGAGGGGAACTAGCAGGGCCTGTCTGGCGCTGAGCTTTGGCAGCGGCATGTATTAGCTTTAGACTGAGGAGACAGCAGAAAGTGCATCGGACGTCTCCTTCGTTCTCCCATATCTCCTCCCCTGTTGCTGACGCTTTTCCTAGTGGCCGTAGCTTACTGCAGTCCGCGCAGAAGCTGCCCCAACAACTAGGATGGAGGGTGTTGGCGAAGGCGCCATCTTCTCTTCGCTGAAGAAGCAACAGGAAACGTCGCAGCTGTTTCAGGGCCTCTGAAGATAACGAAGATAGAGCTCCTAGCAGGGCCAGCGCCTGTAGGCCGCTGCAGGTACACAGAGCCGTAGCAACCGCCTCCTCTGCCGGACCGCTGCTGAAGCCAAGAACTGCCTTGCTGCAGGATACATGATGGTTTGTAGTTGTGAACGCTGTATCTGCACGTGCAGGTAGCAGAGTGGCTTCTCCAGACGGCGCTACTTCTGTCGATGGGCTCGTTTCAGCTCCTCCTTCCCGTTTTCGTCGCATTCTCTTTCTCTCCGGCGTGGCGTCTGGCGGCATTTTCGACGTTACACTGGGGAAAGAACAAGCGTCAGTTGCCGCTGGAAACCAGCCTGAGCACTGTCTTCTGCGAAAACACGGGCGGATAGCTTTGTGAAGGAGCGCCATCTTCACTTCGTGAGGAACGGGCAACGGAGCCGCCCTTGACAGCTCTGTTGCAGCTGACGGCTGTAGTAGAGCAAGACAGCATAGCGTCCAGTACACTCCACTGATCATGGACTGCTGCTGCTGCACCAGTTCCATAAAAGGTGTGTGAAGTGCACCAGTAAAACCTCCATCGGCACAGATACGTGGTATCTCGTCCACACAAGTGGAGAGGGTAAGCAGTCTTAAACCTCTCTGCAACTGCTGTTGTACAAACGACTGGTGTGCTGCCACATTGAGGTACCAACAGCATCCACAGTGACCAGTGCTCCCATGGCAGCTGCTGTCGGCTTCAGTAGCAACAGCGGTTGCCCCTCCTTTCGTTTGCTTCTCCATCTGCACCCCTCAAATTGCGCTGGTGAGCAGATTCACGCAGCCACTCTAAATGTAAAGTTAATAAATTCAGTATTTCCCGCAGGTTCGTCTACGCAGACGGCGCCAGGAGCAGGTGTAGGTACCTGGGCGAGATGTGCCCTTCAGCTTTCGCTGTAAAGCGTCGTCGCTAGCAAGGCCCCCTATCACCAGAAGGAGAGTTCCTACATTGACACAGAGCACGACTTAATAAGAGAATTGAACAAAAATGCTGCAAAGGTGAAATGGTGACACAGAGCAGAGGACATGAAGGGGCTGGGGAGAACGTCTAGTGAACTGAACACAGCTGAAATACTACACCTTCTCAGCTGCATAGCTACCAACCCTCCACACAGAAGAGATTGAAACATGCAGCAACAAGCGAAAAAACGCCTTTCTTGTTCAATTCTAGTCTCTTTCGAGCGAAAATTACTTCTGCGTGAATCCTGGTGTGCACAGGACTTCTGGCAGCTCCCAGCCTGAGGTACCTCCGGCCCATCAGCAGAGCGACTTAACCGTGATCTCTTGCAAGAAATAGTTTCCTTGAATGCTATTCTATATAAACGGACCCCAAGCTTTCTAACTGCAAAAAATTCACCGCTGCTGGAAGTCGTTTCTGCTGTAATGCTAGACAGTGCAACATGCTGGAGATTAAGGAAACCAGAACTTGCATAAAGGCCCTTTCCATTTTACACAAGACCCCGGACGCATTTAATGAATACTTCTAGGGCTTACCCGCGCATGCGATGGGATTCGGGCCCAAGTGAAGGACTGCAGATAACGAGGGGTTAGTCTGGAGTTCACCAAGACGCCGTAGCTGCTGATTGCCAGGTACATTTGCCTTCGTTAAAACCACAATGGCGTAGGAAGCCCCTAAATGAGAACACATTCTTCCGTGTATGTACAACGCATTCGCCCTTTTTTTTGTCGTGCGAACCTCTCCACTGTGGTGCTGTGTTACCTGACATACATACTAGTGGAAGTAGATACGTAAGACGACTTTTTTAGCGCCACTTCTATATGGTGTCACTTCTGAGTCCTGTACTTTGTTGTATTAGTTGTATTAAGTTTGGACCCTAAACCCCAGCTAGTGCCACTGTCAGTTATCTACGATTAACACAAAAACTCTGTACTCTTGTTAGTATTGGGGTTGTATTGTGTGCGCCATAATTGAGAGAGACACCCTGAATTGTGTAGACAATATTTGTTTACGGAAGACCTCAACATTATTAGAACATAAGCACATGCCCGGACTAGCAATGAATTGACCGATGTGTGTGAACAATAAAGGGTTTCACGGATCCAGAAGAGGTCCCCCCCATCAAGAAACCAAATGCAGGTATTCTCATTGTGTACTTTCTTTTTCAAACTCTAACATTTATTCTACTGCGTAGGATTAGCGGAGTACTGCACAGGTAAACACCTACGAAACTGTAGAGAGTCCGTCACAGCTTACAAGCTGAATCTGCCGCAGTATACTCAAGAATTCGGCTATTAAAATAGCAGTGCTGCTACCCCTTTACTTCAGCTTAAATAAGAATGGTGAAGCGAGCACGGCGAAAACTCCAATGGCAAAAGCTCGACCAGTCTCATACGGCTGAATGGGGTCACAAACAGGTGTAATTTGTTCGAAACAAACCGTTCTAGACAAATTCGACAGGCTACAGACCACCAAAGTCTAAGTTTTATCAGATATATAGAGGGACACAAACCTGACGGCCAACTTCCGGCTGAGCGGTTCTCGCGGGGATATTGCCTGCTCTGAGTCCAGCTGTCAAGAGGAATTTCGTAGATAAGACTATCACGAATATCACATTTCATGCATTTCTAAGTATTCTGAGTAATCGTATTGGTGGCGTAGGTTGGGTGGTATCCGCTACTATATGGGGACGCTACTGTACAACTGAAGTGGGCGCATGGCTGGAGGGAAATAACACTTGCTTCAAAGGACCTTCATGCAGTCGCAAAAACTGAATAGCTGGCATTCTTAGCGGGAAACAGCGGATCAAAATTAAAGGGACGTCATGAAATGGGTGCGACTTAGATTCCGTTGCAAGTGGTGCACTTGCAGCACCCGTGGAGTCGAAGACCCACGCAAGACAACTCAGGACTCTGAAGCCGACAAAAGTCGTTGTTGCTTTACATGTTAGGAAGGAACTTACAGAATATCAAGTGCTTTGTGTCTCAGCAAGCTGGTTGTGACGTGGTGACCGTGCAACTGAAGTTTGACTCGACAGTACTGGGGGAGGGCGTGATGTAGCAACTCTTGCAAGCCGAACGACACGAGATATTGCAACTCCTGCTGGCCCGATTAAACATGAACGTGTAGTCCTGTATCGGATCAAAACAGCAGGCAACAGCGCATTTGGCGCCTTTCTCTATGCAAGCCGCGATGTAGGCTTCGTGCACCCCACAGAAACAGCCACACCCCCTTCATTGAAACGGCAGGAGAAACAGAAGGCAAACACCCCAAAACGTATCAGCTTCGAAGCGGATGAGCTGTGCTACCGGTGAGGGGTGCTTGCGCGATACGGATCATCTACTGCCGTCCACTACACCTCTTGGTAAGGCAAAGATACAGCAAGGTTGGCAAGCTTTTACGTTGAGATTATCACTCGTACGCTTCTGCCAAGTATGTTTCCCGTCCCTCTTTTAAGTTGTTTTAGAACCCACAAGTACAACGTAAGGCGACCAATGTGGTTCCGTGTCGGCCAGCTACTGCAAGAGAGCTCTGTTGCAAAAGGGCGGGTGTGGGACTCCACGGCGATCACAGCGGCCTCCTCTGCTTTATGAGCATAAAGTTGAATTTTAGTGGAATGTAATACAGTAGTAGCAGCATTTTCGCTGTATTCTATTGTTTTTTCTTCTAAGGGGGAAAGAGGCCACTGTTGGGCAGTTGCTGGGAAGTGGGAATCAGCGTTGCCCCTGTGGTCGGTCCCCAGACCAGTTTGAATGTCTTCCAGAGCATTACATGCCAGTCGAACTTTAGGCCATTGGTAAAGGTAACCAAGCATACTTAGAAGTCTGCCGGCGCACAACTGCTGCCCCGCGAACCAGTGGTCCTAGGAGGAGCAGACCACAGGGCGGTGGTCAAGGCAGTGTTTATTAGGCATTATCTGCAGCTTTTATGATGGGTTGCAACACAAGTTGTTCTTGGAGGGGGCAGCCACGCTGGGCAGATGATGGAAGGTACGGGGGCATAATCATCACCGATCCGCCAAGATCTAGACGAGTGGATTGGGTGAAGTCTCCCAGTGGAGAAATAACAATACTCACGAGGGAAGGTGTTAAGTCATTTGACAGCTGGATGCTTACTAAGGACTTCAGACAGCTCATGCCGCCGCTGGCGCCTCACCCCAAAGTGCCAGTTCTCCCCGGGGGAATTCCGGATGTTGCTCTCCTACGCAGAATGACGACGCACGATGGCGTGTTGAGATCCACAGCAGCACGGAGGGCAACTGAAAATTCTCTGTTTTGTACTCCAAGCCAAGAAACTCCCCTTGTCATTTACGAGGACTGAACCACGGAAGAATAACTGTGTCACTGGTGCAGGTCTTCACAAATTGCGAAGTCCTTCAGGTGGCTTTAAAATGGGCATGTTTTCTCCGCTTTGACATCCCTGGACACATATAATCGATAGTGGTTTGAAGAGTGTAGTAGTGGCTGACGCCCACGTGGTTTAGATAAAGAGGGACCACGCGGGAGACTTGAGGCGAGCCGAATGTACTTGGGCCTGATCCTCGGATCTTAAAGAAGGTACTGATGATTATGCGCTGGAGCTTTTTCCTGAAGTATTCTTTTCAGTGAGTGTTGTGGGTTGACTCCTCGTATTTCATGAGGAGTCAAGAAGGAAGCTTTGGAAGAACGTGTCGCAGAATCATGCTTGAAGGCGTTGTGGCCGGATACTTCGCAGTCCATAGGGTGCATCCCCACTGGCAATGCTGTGGATAGGTCGTTTCGTGAAATTGCTCGTGGCTGCTGCATCGTTTCTTTTTAGGAAGTTTGCACGTGCTTTCAGTCTGCTCAGCAAAGGATGAAGGACTTTTTTAAACGAGTGTTGGCTTTGGGGTTCAAGCATCAGTTTCGGAGTTGTAACAATGCAGCGTGTGCGTTAAATCAGTTGGCAGCGCAGACTGCGTTGTAAAGGTCTCGTTTGCGACTGTGTGACTCATGCACTAGTTTTTTGTTACTGTCAACAGTTGTGAGGGTCAATTTGGTCAAACTGTGTACCATTAGCTGACCTGGCTTGTAGGTCGGCGTTACGAATGGGACTGGAGACTCTGTCGCAGACCGAAATTAACACTGTGCAGAGTAACGATTGCCGTAAGCAAACTTGTCAAAGCCGTGCATGGAACTGTGCTGCGAACTATTTGGAATTTTTATGTGTGTGGCGTTTCTAGTTTGCAAAAGGAACATGGTGGTACCACCAGTTTCAGCAGCAGCTCCACAGTTGTCCCCAGGGACCACGAGACAGAAGGCAGCTTCAGGATTTATTATGCAAACTCAAGAAAAGCGCCAGCTTGGACCAGACTTGCAGGGGATCTTGCTGAACTTTGGAGATTACAGTCCTAGAATCTTAAGGACATGTATTGAGTTATTCCTTGGGTTACTACAGTCATCCGGCATCCTCTTGAGAGGAGGGTTTGGAGGCGCATTGTAGGTAAACAGGAGTCTGGCTGTGTAGTAGCTTCAGCAGTATAGCCAAGAGTAAACAACCGTTGCACTGTAGCTGAACTGCACCGTAGTGGAGAGTATTGCAGGAGAAGAAACGAGGCAAAAAGTAAACGGTCTGCCATTGATGCAACAGTGCTTAAGCATCAGACTAATAAGGTGGTTCACTACAGTACTTAGGCGGTGTAGCTTGTTCAGGGCAGTAGCGCCGTCTATCGGTAGGGAACCGCGCCAATCACGGCGTGGATATGCCAATGAGCAAAGTAGCGGTTGGTCCGATTCCAAAGGTAATTCGTGTTATATTGAGAGAAGCACAGACGACGAAATTGCCTTGAAAATAGATGGATTCTGGCGGACTTTACTCTACTTCGCTTCTTACGGACGCCCACTGCGAAGTGTGGAAGTGCACCGTTGGCGCGTCTTACTAGTAAGCAGGTGTTGTAAGCAGGAGAACGCCAGTCACTCGGAAGTGTCGCCGGGATGCGCGGAGGCCAGCTCTGGAGTGCAGGGAATCGCTAGGTCCTCCAAGCTACAGAGACTCTGCACTATTTATTTCATGTGCCTTTTGCGTTCGCCTGGCAGTTCTGGCCTTTGCGAGAAATGAATGAGCTGGCGACTCTGCAGAGAAAAGCAAATTTGTTGCCATTGACGGGCGGCGCCCATCTTATCTACAGGGACATCTCCTTTACACAGTCAAGCTGTGATGTCCTGTTCTAACTCCTGAAGCAGACCGCCAAGTGCCGAAGATTATTAACGAATGCGGTAGTCTTGGTTGTCACAGATTGTTCATACTGAATGAGCAGATCCAAGAAGAAAGTCCCCTTTGCAGAGCAACAACAGCCAACAGTGCGTGATGTTGCGTAGGGTCAGCCACCTTAGTGTAGCTTTAACTTTTCATATGGTATCCACCGGACCATTATGTAGTTCTCAGTATTTACTAGATTGCCTAAGACTAATATGGATAGGACGGAATCCTACTGAACAGCATACGATGGACGGGAATGCCGCAGTTGAGCCGGTCCTGCGTGACAATCGCGGAACAGTTATACCATGACTTGAGCTGAATGAGAACAAGCTTATCGGAAATGGTTAGGAACCTCTCGGGTATCTTTACGCAAGTAAGGCTCTCACATCACGGCACAATGGGCAGCAGTGCAGGCACTGGCAGCTGGAAGCTTTTGCTCTAGAGCAACACTAAACAAACACAGACAATTGTATACGCTTCTATTTGAGCACACCTATCATGCTGTCACAAGGTATGATTGTGTTCATGAGGTAGGGATCGTCGCTCTATTGCCTGCGGAACTCGAGCAACCTGTCACAGCATCGGATTTGCGGGAAAAGAACCGATTATCTTGAGCGTGCATCAAATGATTTGAAAAATTAATAATGAAACGAATGCAGTCTGTCATTTCTAGTTTATACATGAAGCAGAAGCAGCCAGCTAGTCGCATCACTGGGATAGCGCACAGCTTCGTTGCTCGATTGCTAGCGGCGAGCCGAGTCACACCACCATCTTTCTAGACGTTGTTCTGACATGTGTTTTTTCCAGCTTCACACCCGACGTTCCTCACCTATTTTTCCCTCCATGTTGTTTCACATTTAACCACAAGCCTTTCTTACTTCCCCAGGATGAAGGTATACATTTGTGTCGGCGCGGTTGCCTTTTTGAGCGCTTGCCGAACACAGGCTCTTCGACTGAGCAGAAGTTTTCTGAGTAAGTTTAGAACGGCTCACGGTCCAATACAATTCAAAGAAAGAAAGAAAGCCTACAAATAGCCTTCCGTGACTGCGCTGCCTGTGTGCTCAGGTCTCTCTGCCGAAGCTGTGAGTGACCTTCTTTTAGGCATTTGCCTCGTTGCTCCAAACAGACACGGCTTATTCGTTGAATTGAATACGGGCTCTACAATTTGTAGACTCGGCCACAGGCGACCCGGACTTGCCGGGAGCCCAACGAGTCCTACGATCTTATGTTTCGACCGAATCTTAGAGGATGCTGCGCACAAGGCGGGAAGCATTGCATATGTATTTGGCAGCTGAATGCTTGCGTGCTGCGTGATTGCAGGAATCAACCACTAGGTTGGCGGCACGCCGCGAATCTCTGCAAGATGCTCTGGATGAAGAATGTTCCCAGCAGGCGTCTGTTGCTTGTAGAAGTGGCCTACAGGATTACTGCAATGAGGCTGTGTTTGCAAGATATGACGGTATTAAAGGCAGCCCTTCATCAAAACAATGGAGATGCTATACGGAAGGAGCGCTTGATCTTGAGGCCGCGGGGCCAGGCTGTGTAAATAGTTGTGGAGCGGCGACAATGTGCCTTGGTGCATTCAACAGCAGATCAGTTGCATATTTGACCCGTAACAATGAACTCACCAGCATATTGAAATTACGCACACAAGAGTTCTGCAGCGCCCCAGCGCCAACGCTTCAGGAGGCATTGGACAGGAAGTGCGCACAGTTCGGCAAGGAATCTTGCAACAGTGGCCTTGCTTCATACTGCGGTGCTGCCATTTATGCGCGTTACGATAAAGGGAACAGCTCGCAGCAGACAAAGGAGTGGCGCTGTTACATTGAGAAGGAACTGGATTTCTCGAAGTCTGGTGATGGCTGCGTGGACGATTGCGGCAGTATGACGTCATGCCGCGGCAGTGTGAGTGGCCCCTCAACATCACACCTCACTCGCCCATCCGAACTTCAAGCGGTCATTGACAGCGACAAAAGCAACTACTGCACTGATAAGTCGGAGCAACAACCATCACAAGCAACACCACCGCCAGAGATACCTGAAGGGACACCTGAGGAGAGCGAAACGGAAGATCCAAGTGGCTCGCAAGCCGTTCCAGAGGCGCTGCAGCATGCTTTGGATGCATTTTGTGTGGAGGAAGGCGAAAAAGCGTGCAGCAATGGGCTAAGAGCGTACTGCAACAGTGCAATGTACGCACGTAAAGATGTGGGAAACACGACACAGAAGACAAAGGAGTGGCGTTGCTATGCAGCTAGCGAGATAGACTTTGCAGTCTCCGCCGACGTCTGCGCGGACAACTGCGGAAACATCACTTCTTGCAGTGGCGCTGTGAACGGCGTTTCAACTTCTCACCTCACTCGGAACCCTCAAATCGAGGAACTGATCAAGATGGAGAAGGAGGTCTATTGCAATCCCGAAATAGAGAAAGGTTCCGAGTCGACTGGAGCAGTGGACTCAAGTGAGTCTGAGGTGGTACCACCGCCAGAGATACCTGAAGAGACGCCTGAGGAGAGCGAAACGGAAGATCCAAGTGGCTCGCAAGCCGTTCCAGAGGCGCTGCAGCATGCTTTGGATGCATTTTGTGTGGAGGAAGGCGAAAAGGCGTGCAGCAATGGGCTAAAAGCGTACTGCAACAGTGCAATGTACGCACGTAAAGATGTGGGAAACACGACACAGAAGACAAAGGAGTGGCGTTGCTATGCAGCTAGCGAGATAGACTTTGCAGTCTCCGCCGACGTCTGCGCGGACAACTGCGGAAACATCACTTCTTGCAGTGGCGCTGTGAACGGCGTTTCAACTTCTCACCTCACTCGGAACCCTCAAATCGAGGAACTGATCAAGATGGAGAAGGAGGTCTATTGCAATCCCGAAATAGAGAAAGGTTCCGAGTCGACTGGAGCAGTGGACTCAAGTGAGTCTGAGGTGGTACCACCGCCAGAGATACCTGAAGAGACGCCTGAGGAGAGCGAAACGGAAGATCCAAGTGGCTCGCAAGCCGTTCCAGAGGCGCTGCAGCATGCTTTGGATGCATTTTGTGTGGAGGAAGGCGAAAAAGCGTGCAGCAATGGGCTAAAAGCGTACTGCAACAGTGCAATGTACGCACGTAAAGATGTGGGAAACACGACACAGAAGACAAAGGAGTGGCGTTGCTATGCAGCTAGCGAGATAGACTTTGCAGTCTCCGCCGACGTCTGCGCGGACAACTGCGGAAACATCACCTCTTGCAATGGCGCTGTGAACGGCGTTTCAACTTCCCACCTCACTCGGAACCCTCAAATCGAGGAACTGATCAAGAAGGAGGAGGAGGTCTACTGCAATCAAATGGGAGCGTCAGACGATCGTGCGGAAAGACCGCCGGAGTTGGGGACCCTGCCGTCTCCTGGTTCGCAGAATCCCCAATCAGGCGCTGAAGTATGTGTAGGCCTGCGGAATTATGCACTTGTATTCGAAACGGAGAGCTAGCATTAGACTGCGGCTGCTGTACAGGACGGGGATTTCTGCAGGCTACCTATGCGAGGTTGAACTGAGAAAGTACTCACTGTCTTGTTTTGGTGCTTGCAGGTGCTTGGGGGTGATTGTCTGCAACGTGTTTTGGACGCACGCTGCATAGTGGCGTTTGCCCAGTTATGCATTACTGACAACAGTATGTGCGACGTTGCAGTGGCACGAAAGGTTGGCACCAGCTGGGACTGTTACCCACAAAGTGCGCTGGATCTGAGTCGGTCAGGTGAAGGCTGTGTAGATGCCTGCGGCAACGTTGTTCTTTGCCGTGGCACCCCGACGGGTACAGCACCCAGCGGCGCCGAAGACGTGGGGTTAGATAAGCTTATGAAAGAGTTGAAGGAAGCTACATGCAAAATGGGGGTGGGCTATAGACGAGACGTCTCTTACGCTTTTTGCAGTTAAAGACTCTGAGCGTATTGTCTTCACGCCAATCATCGCTCCCCAATACGGTGAGGCCAGTCCTTGCTTTCGATGCTTTGCTTGCGCTGCAGGAGAGGGCCACATTGTAGCCACGCATAAGGAGGAATACCACAATGACGCTGCGCTGGATGGATGGCACAGGCTAATCGGCGCAGCGCGGAGGAACAGTGTTATTAATTATAGTAGCCCCTTTACAGACATGGAGAACACTTCCACTAGTGCAAGTGCGCCAGAACTCAGTGCACTGTGCTCTTCCTCACGAAACAGGAAGGCGGGAGCGCATTCAGTTGAGGAGATACGGACTGGTGCTTGCACAATTTGTCGAGGGAGGCCGTTTTTTTTTTCTAGGTGGACTGCGCAGGGCAGAGATGTGGAAGCTTATACGCAGCGCTTTGGGATGCATGACTTGGATGGACGTTAGTTCAGATAACCAGCATGTTACAAATATTGCAAGAAAGCCTCTTTCCATAGTTGATGGTAGTAAAATGGTGGCCAGTTTTGTATTCCAGATTCGTATTCTGGAAACAGAAAAGGCACTTCTTAAGCTGTCCCCCCTAGTGAAACTTTTTTTTTGCACCGGGGAGCCGTTTTTCTGAAACACACAGACCGAATACTGTGGGCACAATATTGTGTTTGCGCGTGGAGTGAAATGCGGTTGCGTTAGCCTTTGCGTGGACAGTGGCCAGAGTGCTTAGCATGAATAGCTTGTAGTCCTCGAATCTAGTATCACTTTAAAACGTACCAGCATACAGCAGGACCTGCGTAGAGAGCGTTACTCGAAGGGAATTATTCAGCATTAACCACCTGACCACCTGTACCTTCCCACATCTGTATCTGTATCGAGACGGGGATGAATTCACGTGACGACGAAGAATATTCACATGAGCACTTCGTTTTGTGCCGAAAGGTAGAAATGAGGTCTGAGGTTGTTTCAGAATTTGAGCACGATGGGTAGCCAGATGACCCCATGCCACTCCGTTGCACAACTCATTTCATTCCTGTAGTCACAAGGAGCCGAGTTAACCTTGATGAGGTAGGAACGGAACTATTTTAGCCAGTTAACAGCCCCATATGCGCGTCTTCAGGTTTCTAGTATGCGAAACTGCTTGAAAGAGCACTTTGGCATGGCACTGAATTAATGTAAGTCAGTCTGTGGGTTGCCCAGCCTTGTCTCTGAAATCTTTCAAGAACTTCACTACCGTTGTAGCATATGTCTTGTTAAATGTTTTTTGCAGCACTCACTAGGATCTCGCCACAGCATCAATTGCCTGCGCACTAGCTTCGAAAGTGTCAGTTCCGTAAGACTGCGATAGATTGTCTTGGTTCCTGTGAAAATCAACTTATGTACTGAATAAGTGGTTCATCAATTCGTCTTACTCCATAGGGCTAAACGAGCTACAGTAAATCAAACATGCTCTCACCAGAGTATATTACTAAGCAGTCCCTGAGGAAGGACAACACGCTGCAAGTGTTTGACTGTTCGGTCGCTTTGCAAACGCCATGGAGGCATGCACCCATGGTGCAGAGGTGAGCACCTCGCCTCACCTCTGACGTTTGCTTTACTCGCACTTGCCGAAGTCAACATATGAGCCACGAACAGGTCGAAGCTCTGGGCTGCAGAGGACTTATTTTTCGAAGCATATGGCTGGAAGTCTAACTTAGAGAAATCCTGCAAACCTGCTTCAAAACGGAATTTCGTTGAAGTGAACGAAATTGAAGGCGCGCTTCTGCTGTTTACTCTGGGCATTTCACGTGTACCCAGTTGTTGCAGTTAGCTACTGAGTCACGGTCACTGAGTACTCAATTTTTGTTTAACGTAAGGATGGCTCATGAGTCCAATAGACACTATGAAAAAGGTGTGAAGGTGTGCCTACGGCCATTCTGCATGTGCTAGTTCAAATTGCTACTGAATACTTCTTCGTAGGACAGAGTATGTCAGTGTATGACTCGACGGTTTCCTACTTTGGACCATGTGACTGCCTGAGGCTACACAATCGTCTTCATCAGAAAAAGCATAGATAAGTTCCCGTGGCGACCGATCTCCACAGCTCACTGCTGCATCGCTGCTGGCCCTTCATCCCTGTGGACTGACACTGTTCACCTTGACAGCATCAGATGTTTCGTCACAGCAGCAAATGGATTTTACACCTAAACAAACAACAATCTAGAACGTTTCTTATTTAGAGGGATGACGCCCGTTCTCGTGTCACCTGCGCAAAAGCCAGTGAAGTAAAGCTAAACCGTTGAGGGAGTCGCCACAGCAACGAACAGTAAGCAACGTGTTCGATCACGTTTAAAGCTGAATCACAGCAACAAGTATCGCATTGGGAACTATTCCCCCTAGACATGCTGGCTTCGGTCCAGCCACGTTATTTGAGCTACGCTTCCCACATGCATCGGCCACCTATGCCGAAACTGGTCACCTGTACCGAAAGTATACTTACATCTTAACTGGTTAATTCGAAGGTGCATCCATCAGTGTCGCTTAGCCACGGAGTACTACCGGTGATAAGGTAACCAGTAGCGCCAGCTACAGGAATGCCACCACGTCATGTATTTGGTTGCGCTTTCCTGTACTAAATGTAAAAGCAAGACTTGATAGTCTCTTCACTAGGCTGCTGGCGGACGCGTTTCAGTCTTCTGCAGCCTGAGCCGCATGAACGGTCACTGACCAACTTGCGCACAGAGCAAGCGTGCAGCTGCAAAACTGCAATGCTTGGCACTTTTTAATGCCTTGTCGTATACCTACAATCCCATTTACTGCGCAAGTGATGCACTCAAGTGCAAGTTGTACGTTCTACATCTAAAGCATCAAATAACAACAGATTGAACGGCAAATGATAGCCAGGGTCCACGCAGCACAAATGGGTCGCTTCTGTGCTGGAGATCGCCACGCTGGAAGAACGGCCGTACAAAACGTCAATCTTTAGAAGCTGCTGCACACTCACGAAAGACATTCCAGTTTTACGGCCAAAACCAGGAAATGCTATTGCGCAAGTATGCCACGGAGAGTAGTCGGCGCACAAAGCAGATTTCGTAGCTCTCGCTGCGCTATCCTGTTCCGGCACCTGCTGTAAATTACCTAACTTAGGGCCTTGGGTGCCTTTAATTCCCGTAGGAACTCTGGAGGCTTAGGAGGAGCACTATCCAGCATAATCTCCTTGTCAGCGCCGCACTCCCGCCAGGATACAGAAGACGTCGGCTCGTTTACCCTCACGTTGGAAGCTGGTGGACCGCGTTCAGCTGTACTTCCGTGGCCCAAGGAAATCGCCCGACCATCAGCCGAGCTAATTTTTCCAATGCTATTTAGCGGTGCTTGTTCCTCAGATGACCCTGCATCTTTTTGTAACGAAATAAACTCAGGGACTGATGACTCTGTCGGGGTAAAATCAACTTCAGCTGGGGCGAGAACAACACTTCTGTCACAATCTTCGATTACAACCAAGCCATGAGGGCCCATGTCAGCCTGAATAACATATCGTCATCCATGTTCACGTGAAATAAACTGGTTAGGTTTAATCTCCATGCAATGAATTCACTACAATAACACTGTTGCCTCTTCGCCTGTCCGGTTGACCACTCAGCCGCAGCGGACAGAACCTTACCAGTGCACGTTCAAAGAACTGCAGCCGCCTCGACAAAAAGTCACTGATACGCGTCAGTGTTGCATTACGCTGAGTAAAAAGGCAGGAATGTAAGGCTGTAAACGACATCTGAATTCTTTAGAGCCGTACAGAGAAATCGTAGCATCTGCTGATCCTGCTGGCCAAGAAATAACCTCAGCCTTTCTTATCTGAGTCTGTGCTAGTTTACTTGACTTACTAAAGTCAATTCTTCATTCCGCAACTGCGCCCTTTTGGACTGCCGCTGCAAAGCCTCCCATTTATCAGCAGCATTCTGAGATGTGTCCTGCAGCAATACTCACACAAATTACGCATAGTGCGAAGTGTTTAAAACTGCTTCGTAGCTCAATTGAAAATACTTCTGTGCTGGTGGGGACATTGTCAACGGCAAGCTCACTTTTCCCATGGCCTGCGTTCCAGCTTCTTTCGTCTCCACACGGCGGTTCACCGCGTTTGTGGCTGCGTCAGCCTCCGCACCTGATCGCATTTCGTTGAGTCGTTTCTGGGCAAGGTAAACACATCAGACCACCTACATGCGCCTTTAGATTTCGTACGTCAAAAATGCCGGGGAAGTTAAGCAGCGCCTTGAGCAGTCATGATTATCGGTCGCATCATATGACACACCTCCGCTGCTTGCAAGGCCTTCCTCAGTGATTCCTGCTCAGTCACAGCAGCTGCTAAGTCGTTTTCTAGCCTCTGAACCTTGCGATTGCCTTCCGCAGCCTCAGCACGAGCTGCCTCAAGTTGCTTCACGTCGACGGTATCCTGCAGTAGCTGCTGAAGGGCTTGCAGCTCCTCCTCCACACTCCGTAAGCGCAAGTCCTTCTGTTTGCTTGCCTCTTCCTGTCTTTCCAGCATTGCATTGACCTCACCCAGCCTATCGCGCTGGCTGGCTACGTGCTCATCCAGCTGATGCTGCAAGAGCTGGGAAAGGCGTTCCTTTTCCGTCAGTCGCTCCCGTAGCTGATGCAGTTCCTCCTCCATTATCGCCTGCACTTCTGCTTCTGGGCAGCTACGTTGCCGCCGAAGCTCTTCTACCTGGAGCTCCAATGTTTTGCAACGCTGCTGCAACCTTTGTGCATCTGACTTTGTGGCTAGAAGCTGCGTTTGCAGAGCAGCTGACTCTTTTTGCTCAAATGCAAGAGCGTCTCGTTCGACCTCATAGGCTTCCAGCTGCCTTTGCTTTTCCAGAAGCAGCTGCTGTGCCTGCTGAAGCTTTTCAACGACGGCAGCATTCGCTGCCACAATTTTTGCACTCTCTTCGTCCCAGAGCTGTTCAAAGTGACTTCGTAGCGTCTCTTGTTGCTCCTGCTGCTCCTGCTGCATACGCTGCTTCAACTGCTGCTGCTCCAGAGCGTGCTGCTCTCGCAACTGCTGCATCAGCAATGCATGCTTCTCCTGCTGCTGCTCCAGAATCTGGTCACGTTCCTGCTGTAGTCTCTCTCGTTCCTCCAGCTCTAGCTGCCTCATTGCTCCTAGTTGCTGCTGTAAGTCTTCTTCATGCTTTTGCTGCAGCAAAACGGGCTGTTGCAGTAGTTCTTCACGTGCTGCTTGTAGCAATCCCTGCTGCGTATGCAGCTGTGCCTCGAGCAGCACCACTCGCTGCTCCAGCTCGCTTCTCTCAATCGACATCTGGAGATTAACTGCGTCATATTCCTGCTGTAAACATTGGTGCTTCTTTCTCGTAGCCTCGTGCTGCTCGAGTTGCTGCTGTACACTTGCCGTTGCGTCTTTGAGCTGCTGCTGTAGCGCGTTGCGTTCAACCTCAAACGAAGTGACAGCACTGTCCATTTTCTTCTGCAACATCTGCACGCGAGATTCTGCTCCCTGAAGGCTTCTTTTCAAATCTTCCACTTGTCTAGACAGTTCTTCTTTCTGCATGTCGCTTTGCTCCAGCAGCATGCGTTTTTCTTCATCTTGCTTCTCCAGCTGCTCTTGCTTTTCCTTCCCCTCAAGTTCTTGCTGCTGCAGCCTACGCAGAAAGTGTTCCGTGTCCTCTTGCTGTCGTTGCGCCATGAGCTCGTTCTGCTCTTCCTGCTGAGCGAGTTGCTGTTGAAGTGCATCCACCTTCTGCTGCGAACGCTCTACTTCTTCGTCGTAGGCAGCCTTGAGGCGCTGTTTTTCTTCAGCCAGCTTATGTAGTTGTTCTTTTTCCTCCTTTAGGATTCCTGCGTATTCAGCAGCAACTCCTTGTACTTCCGCTACATGCTGCTCTTCCAACCGCTTCATTTCAGCCTTCTGCTGCTCCTGCTCTTGCCGCAGCTTCAAGAGCAGTTGGTTGATTTCTGTTTGAAGCTGCTCCATCATAAGCTCCCGAGTCAGTAGTTGCCCTTCCAGAACTGCAGGAAATAAAAGCCAGTCACACGCAGTCCAGGAAGGGATGCCACAGCAGTTGCCTCAGCACACGAAACCAGTAACTTCGTACACACCCGCTGTGCCAAACTAGTGCTAAGGCACGAGCATCGCACGGTAAGGCAAAAGTACAAACAGTGCGTATTTCCTACCCTCTTGCTGCCGACGCATTTGCTGGACAAGATCATGCTGCAGCTGCTGTGCACTTAAAGATTCATTCAGTGCCTCCTCTTTCTCTTCCAGCAGTGCCCTTGTTTCCTCCCGTTGTCGTTGTTCTTGCTGTCGCAACTCCTGCAGGAGCTGCTCTTTTGCGTGCAGCGCCTTTGCAGCCTGGTGTAAAGTGACAGCGCCACACGAACAAGGGACAGCCGTGCTGTTTTCCAGAAATGCAATAAAACCCAGCTCATATTTTTTGTCGCATATTAACACAACAGTACGGGTTGGTGCTTTCAACAAGTAAGCCTGCGAAGTCGCCGCGTAGTATGGGAAGAAAGATAAATAATTAATTCGACAATTTGTCAAGCTAAACCTACAAGACTGCAGAATTGCATTTGCGTCAGCTTTTCAGGATCAGAGTCAATGCAAACATGCAATGAAACGCGCCGACGCGCATGCGTGTGCCAGCGAAACAAACTGCACGTAGTCCACAAAGCGGAGACCTAACGTGCATGTTGCCTTTCCTCAAAAGCAAAACAGTCCATCAGTCGAAGCCCACTTGCATACGATGAGTGGATACAAAGCGTACACGCCTACGTATAGCCCTTAGAGGAAAACAGAGATATGTTGTGGCAGGAGAATGAGCAAGAGTAAGCAAACAGGCATGAACAGTGAAGTCTGCACAGATATACACTGATGCAAGCTAAAAGACAACCAAGTATGTGTGAAAATTTGAAAAAAAAAAAAGCGGCCGACGAGAGAGTTCCTCAATGAAAAGTAAAAGGTAGATGAAGCGAGTCAAAGACAGATGATGAGAGCCAGTCACTGAGTAAGATCCGCATGTGTACAGAGCAATTTACGTACGTGAGGAGCCGGTCCTTGAGTAAAATCAGCATGTGTAAGGAAAGCAATATATGTACGTGAAAAGCACTTTCAAACGGACAAGTAGGTGACCAGATCCCAATTGGATTGCAAGTCCACACACGTTGATATATACGCAAACTTGAATGCGTTGCTGGCAATTGAACCTTCGGCAACGCACATGGAACTACGAGGGTGCAAATATTTGGAGGTGATGGCAGACAGTTGGACGCTGACAAGCACACTAAAAAAGAGTCGTTCACACAGGAGCAAACGCAAAGATAGCTTGAGGGATTGACAAAACATGCATATGGACAAACGCAACCAGTTGGAGCACAGACGACATAACAAGCAGAAATGCTGCATACCAGCAAACATATAGATTGACAAGGAAAAGTTCCCCTGGCAAGGGAGCAAGAGACACAGGTGTGAAAGCAGGACTTTCCAGACAAGCTCAACGATGGCACTGCATGCTCGCGTCCATGCATGTGAATAGCACCAAATAAGATGCGGCATGGATGCGAATATAAAGGTGAAAAAAAGAGGCGCCAACAAATCAGGTATATATACACACAGTAAACTTCGCTAGCGGGGTTCACGTGCAAATACGTTTGCACGCAAATGTTAACTACGTAGGAGCATGCAGCAGCTGCGCATGCGGAATAAATGCCGTTTAAGCAATAAGTTGCGGAGGAGTCAAACAATGCAAGCAGCTGCCACTGGCACGGACTCATACGCATCAACGGTAGGCGTCGGCTTCAAGCCATTAAAGGGGTCATGGCGGAAAAATAAGTAAGCAAAGTTAACCCATATTTAATTCCAGCTCAATATGAAACCGTACTGCATATGAACCCCTCTTTCAAGCTTCTCAGATGTTGCCGACAGCGATGTGGGTGCAGTCATCTTACCTGGCCTTCTGCCACCTTTTTCGCCGCTTCTGCGGCGACTCTGGCAACAGTGGCTGCTCTTTCACTTTCCACTGCTGCATCCAGTCGCTCTTGCAGCTCTTGTAGAAGCTCCCTCTGTTGCTGTGTTGATTTTTGCAGGTCCTTCCACTGCTTTTGCGAATCCGACAGCTGCTGCTGCCAGAAATCTGCTTGCTGGCGTAGTTCTCCAGCTTCATGCTCCTTCTGCTGTTGCACCTTCTCAAGTAGCTCTTGCTGACGCTGCAAATTCTGATGCATGTCATCAAGCTGCCGCTGTACTTGCTGTTTTTTTTCTAAAGCTAAAACCAGCTGCCCCTCTAGATCAGCCGCCCTAGCACAGCTTTCCTCCATACGCCTACTTAAATCATCGTGCATGCACTTCAAGCTGTCCAGTTTCTCCTGCTGTTCGATGTGAGCTTCTTGTAGGAGTAGCTGCTGCTGCAGAAAAGGCTCAAGAGAGCCGTGCTGCTGCTGCAACTGAGCAATAAAATGCACCATGTCCGCATCGAAGTGCATGTCCTCCTCCTGAAGTTGTCTATTGCGTTCCATTTGCTCGACGAGCATTTGCGTCAGCTGCACGCATCACCAGCAAAAGCAACAATAAAACGGGCAGTCTAGGAGGCAGCGCCGGCAGCCGCTCGTATTGGTAGCAGCAAGCCACGCTTTGGGCAGCTTGCAGTCGACACAGCACAAAAGGTCAAGAGAGAAATGAGGAACGGATTGTGGATCTAGTGCTGATGTCCGCGGCACCGCTTGTTTATGCCTCCGTAACGGTCTTTGTCCGACAGTTTCGAGCTGTAAGCGGGGGAAGTAAATTAAGACGTACGGCGGAAACTGCCCCTTGGGCCTCCTCTAGAGCTGCCTCTGCATCTGAGATTGCGCTGCAAGCTGGTGAGGGCTGTGGCTCTGTGTCTTCCCCCATGGGCGACGGGAACTCCTCAGAAGCGCCGAAAATAGCGTCCTGTACAAGTTCTGCTGCACGTTGGCGCTCCACCGTAGGACCCTCCCCAGATAGCAACTGCTCAATCACTCGCTGTATACTTTTTGTGAGACTGGTATTTCGGGAGCGAAGATTGCTCACTTGTTGCTGCAGCGTTGCCAACTGTCTCAGTGTCTCTGCGCTACTCCTCTCCAGCTCCTGTACTGCCCGCGCGAAACCAGGAAGAATGTCTTCCATAGAAACCCCTTGATGCAGCAATTGTTGAGGCAATCTATCGTGATGCTGTAACTTCTCCATGTGATTTTCATCGTTAGGCTGTTGAAGTTGCTGTGACGATTGCTGCTGCAGGCGCTCCAGCTGCCCTTCTCGCTGAGGAGACGTTGTAGGAGGGAGACAGGAGTCCCATGGCTTCGCCGATGGGTGAAAACAGTCTGCTGAGTCTGAAGCGTCGCATTTATCTGAAAGTGTCGCGCTGCAGAACTGATGTTCTTCGCCAGCATCCGCAGCCACAGTGTTAGCAGTTGCAGTAGCAGCCCCTACTGCTGTTGCTGCTTCATCTTTTGGAGTGAAAGTGAGACCTCCTTTGTCAGGTAATAGTTCCGTTTTACCTGCTTCGTCGTTCAAATCGTCCTCATACTCAGGTGCAGTACCCCTGCTGCGATCGCTGCCCGAGGAACAGCCCCTCTCCAGTGGGCCGAGATGTCCATAATTCTGTAGCTGGCGATCCGCGGAATGACGCTCATGCGGTTGATGCTGCCGCTGAAAGTTTTGTTCATGCTGCTCTTGCCACTGTTGCATGCATTGAGGCAAAGGGGATTCTTGCACTTCATTATCATGAGCCTCAGTTGCTTCATCTGAAAACAGAGCCATATCTTCAGGGTTCTGCCGTTGAGCAATGGAGGCGAATTCGCCGCCAAAGGTCGCATCCTCCCGGCCATTTCCCTCTGCTTCTTGTTGCTGCTGCCCGTGTTCCGAAGCCGCTTTATCGACTACTTTAAGCCTTTCTGCCGAATCAGCGTAGTCTAACAGAGGCCTGTGGGCCTCGTTGTTCTCAGATATTGCACAGTATTGGTGACGAGAAAGCCCTTGAGCTGCAAGTGGCTCGCCCTCCTCTTCAATTACACGCAGCTGCTGTTGGTGCTCAGCCTGCACCATACGTTGCTGCTTCTGACTGATGGGATAAGAATGCTGTTCTGGTTTGCTTGATGCCTGACCTACGCCATTTAGTGAATGAGGGTGGTCCTGCCCGTGTTGCTGGCGTTGCTGCTGCTGCTCCAAGCTTGAGTAAGAAGGCAGTAAACGTGTTTCATTTTCAGGAGGTGAAGGAGAGCCAGTGGAGCAGTGCTCTGAAGCATTTAAAAATAGCTGGGGCCCTTCAGACGTCTCGTTGGTTTCTGAGCAACTCCGCTTCACAACAGCTGTCTGCTGCTGAAGCTGCGACTGCTCTTGTTGCTGTCCTTGCCATCCCTCTTCCGTTGCAGCCCGCCTCGGGCTGTCACTAAGTGGAGGCGCCGAAAGTGCGGTGCGCACACGACATCCCTCCTTGTCACCCGCACACGGAATCGTATCCGCAGCAGCAACTTCATCTGCTGTTACCAGCAAACTGCTGTTAACGGACGCGGGCTCCTGTCCACCCCTTTCCGAGTGTTGCTGCTGTTGCTGCAGCATGTATGGAGGTCTTACAAACGTAGGCGCCCTCTTTTTAGCCTCTATGCTACCGCTATTCTTGGTTAGCAACCCCGGGGTTGCGGTGTATAGACTTGTAGCGTCGCGGGCCCTACAGAATCACCAACAGCAGGGGACCTGTTTCTACAGAAAAAGCGTCAGGGGCGAAAGTAAAGGAAGCTTGTTTCAGTGTCTGTCAAATCTACGCCTCACCTCAACCTCCTTATGCCGCCTATAGAAGAAGTATTGCCTGGTAACTGTTTTCCCGCTGTTTCTGTTACGGGAGGTGGTGGCGGTGTATCCTGCTGCTGCGCCAGATGTTCCTCGCCTCGGATAAGCCATCTTTTTAGCTCTTTGTTGTAGTAAAATTGATTTTCCTCGCCAAGCTGCAACAAAAGGATGGACACGAAGGACATTGCAGGTCGTTACTGTCAGGTCTACTGGTCCACAAACGTCGCGTTGAACACGTTACAGCGCGCCAAAAGCAACAGCTCACATGTGCTCGTGTTGCTTTCCCCTCGCCTTCCCCGTCATCACCACCCCTTCGAAACAGGCGCCAGATGCCTGCGCGCACACAAAAGGCACATTGAAACGCACATGTTCGGTGCCCCATGTGCTGCAACACGAGCTTTCTTAGTTCTATATACGAAATGCAAAGTGATTAGGCACCTGTGGACATCGCCTGATCGCTCCTGTGGTGCGAAGACAAGTGATACTTCACAGGACGACAGGTTCTGCGATCGTCGGCAGGATGGCATCAGGCTGGAGCAGACGCTTCACAAAACCCTGGAATATGCGCCTTTGATGCAACCATATGCAACCTTCGCCCGCGCCAAAGTGGCGCCAGCTCTGCTTGTACGGGTCAATTTGAATGCCGATTTGCACCGCCTTTACGGCGACTGTTGCTCATACCCAACAGGCAGCCGCGGAGCTTCTCTTCTATAGAAGGTCCAGCCACTGAACCGACTGCTAGAATGCAAGCTAATATACTACAAGAAACTGGTTGAGAAAATGATAAGACGGAGTAAACTCCACAGTTCCCTCCCTGGACGCATCTAGGGCCTATACAGCTCAGGGTTTGTTTGCTCCCCCCGCTGGGCAGCAAAACAGGCCCCTCACCAAAAACAACGCTGAAACAGTTATGAAAGGGAAACACAGCGTCTTACACAAATGAAGCGCATATAGTCTTTCCAACACCTGGGCTGCTGTGAAGGAGCAAAGTTATGCTTGCTCCTATGGCGCCGCAGTCATAGCACGGTGAGTGCAGTTGTCTTGCATAAATTCATCGCACCATTCCACTTTCCCCGTAAGAGGGTAGAACTTGAGGAAACTGAGGACGTGGTATTCATAGGGCTCTCATTTTGTCCGGGGTGCCTTGGAGTGCCGAGAACTGTATGGCTGCTTCAAATCAGTGACCAGTTCCCAAAAATAGAGAATCCTGCCGTGGCTAATAGCAAATTGGGACAACTTTCAATAGATTACGGTATTTCCCATGCATGTATACTGAATTTTCCCGCGAGATAACGTTCCATTCCCGTAGTCCCAGCTGAGTTCAGACGAAAACAAGCATGCAAGCAAGACAGACTTAACGAATTAGTAAGTTATCCCTGCTAGAGTCCACCATACATCGGTCGACCTCGATTTCGACTTTCGTGGTCTTCCTTTGAGCTAAATTTTGTAACGCTGTTTTTACAGTTGGATGCTGTCATTGTCCAATGGGAGGAAGGCAAAAGGGCAAAAGGGAGCTAACCCACGTTGTTGCATGTTGGAGAATTCTAGGCAGCTCACTCTGTTTACCATTTTCTAAAGGATAGTTGGGCTATGTAGGTAGCACGATAGGTTTCGACTCTATTCAAATGGGGAAAATGCTAGTGTGGGTGCTGGAGGTGCAGTGTCGAAAACGAGCGCTAGGTCCCCGCAGAACTACGTAATCCTTTTATGTTAAACGGACTGGGTCTCAATAAAATCGGAAAAAGCAGCTGTAGTTCACCCCCTCGGGCTACTGGTGATACCAAAAATTTGTACCGAGTAGAGGCCAAAGCGCCATCCATAACGGAGTCTAGAACAAAGTGACTTCCTCGCCACTTCCAAACACCCTAGTTTGCTTCAGTGCAACCTGTAGGGGCCATTCAAATTCAGGAACTTGGTGCGATGCGGAGCGGGCATTTGAACATCCTTGGCAATAGACAAAAGCCCCCATGGAACGTGGTGGCACTGTACACTCTACAACTTGTTCAAGGCTTGGACACCACTCTGGGGTCATCTTCTGTCCTTCTAAGACCTCCTAAGTAGCTTTGCAGCGGCTAAATGTGTTGCAAGACAGCGCCCTGCAGCTAGATTAAGTGGCATAGCGCGAAAAATATCTTACAAGGACGTGTACCCGCACACACACTACGCAAACGAGTGACGTATCGGCCACACCGCATTATGCCGAATACTCGTTTGGCTGCCAGAGTTTCCCCACTGACCGTTTGCTTTTCCTGTGGCTTGTTTTGTGGACATCAGAAGTCAGTCCTTCAGCAACGTCGCCTGCACCTCGTTAAACTACCTTGCCAATAAAAGCTCTGGGAGAAAGCACATACGATCTCAATGAGTCGAAATACCAACTCCTGACTTTGACGTTGGAACAAACACCGGGCAGAAGGTCCGGGCTTTGCGGCGCCGCCCAAAGGATCAATATACAATCTTAATTAGCAGAACAACGATTCCTTCCAACGCTACTCAGCAAGCAGAAAACCAGGGCTTTTCAAGAGGGTGCAGAAGGCCAGTATTCAGCCAGCTAGATTTCTATCGTTTCCTGTAGACTGGCTTTTGAAAGGCTCGTCGCAAACAGACTGAGTTTCAAAAGGTTCGTCGAAAACTGATAGCGCTCAGCATAGAATCCCTGGAAAAAAGAGTTCTTGCCTCGTGCCAAGAACTGAGGGACCTGCATTTTTCAAATGTGAAGGCGCCTGCCCGCCGAACCGGTGAGAACAGAACCGAAAGCGGCTCCGCCAGTTCCGTTTATGGAAATGGGTTACATACACTACGTAATAGTTAGCCATGGATAAATGGCTGCACTTGCCGCACGGGATTTGCTGCACAGCTTTGGCGCAATCGAATAGGCTTGTTTCTATTCGGTGCTTCTGCTGCGGGCAACTGCAACAAGAGGACGTTTTTCCCTCGTTTGAAGTACTAGGCGATCTTCCTCGTGTAACGCGTATATCTACTTCGCCGTAGTCAACACCAAATCGCTCGTCTGAGGGTCCTGATGAAACGCTTCGGCGATTTCGTCTCCAATGCCCGAGAAGGCGACACACTGTTTTAACTGAATCACCTGTAGTGGCGGCCCAACTCCAGAAGCACGGGCAGGTCTGTGTACCTACGCTACTCTCAAGAGGCCCTTCGCAGCCCTTATTAGTTTGCTTTTTCTCTAAAGACTGCAGGCCTCTCCTAGACGGATTCTCAGCCTCTTCAGACGAGGCATTGACTTCCAAGCATGTGGACTCTTAGATCTCTCTTATGCGCACGATTCCGCCCGCTGTTCCTGTGATAATTTCGTTCGGTCCAATCTGCGTAGCTGAGTAGACACTGTTGCTCATTGGCCCTGCCCCAATGTTGTAGTGGAACTTGCTGACCCCAGTCCACCAGTCCAGTGCTTCAAGGGTCCACATTCCCCTCAAAGGCGCTGCCTCGCCCCCAAGAGGACACCGTTTGCCTACACCGTACATGAGCTGTGATTTTGCACTCATTGTTGGGATGCCGTTAGGGATCGAAACTTCTTTGTTTATCCAGACAGAGCGGATTTTCTTTGTGTCTGGGTCGAACTCAAACTGTTCAACACCCTTTGGTGCGTCTCCGACAATGACTGGCAAGGCCGCTGCAACTGTGTCGCCCCAACGTGACCATGTGTTGCTTGACGAACTTAGTCCTGCAAGGAAGGTCGTCGGGCTTCCCAAATATTGAAGGAAATTTGTGGATACTTTCGTTTCCTCTGTGGGCTGGTTGTTCACAACAGCCATGCGCCACCCATGTACCAGCACAGACTGCTCGCTTGTGGTCTCCTTTGCGTTTGGGTCCCCAAACGTTATAGGATGTCGTGCTTCCACCTTCCCAGTCCTGGCGTCCATAACTACGATGTTCATCAACTTCGCACTATCTGTGATGACTACGTACCGACGGTCCGGAGTGCCCATGAGAGTTGGAGTGCTGCCAGAGCCCTCACCAAGGCGCACTGGAGCTGTGCCCCCTAGACCTGGCTCCAGATCATAAGGCTCTTCCCAAGACACAGAGAGCGTTTCGCCGTCCCACTCTACCTTGTGCATATACCTTGAGGACACCACATAAATACCTCCTTGCTCGTCGCAAGCAATGTTGTTTGACACTTCAATGTCATCGTCCACCGAGACAGAGCCACTACCGGTACTTGAAATGCCGTCAGGAGTTAAAGTTTTATCCGTTTTAGAAGGGGATCCTTTTCGCTTTGAAGCTCCGAGCATCAGAGTGGCAAGAGCCTTGCGGAAAGCACCATTCTTGACGTCCCGAGTTAAAATGCCTACGCGGCCTACGTCGGTGACCTGTACAGCATTGTACGGAGGCGCAACAAAAAGACCACCTGCGGACTTTTCTGGAACTCAGGAGCTGCAGAGACAGGCATGGGTTGAGTGTATGAGGGAGGATGCGCTTAGCTGCAATTATGCTCAGCTAAAAGGAGGCTGTCCCATTGGGCGCATGCAGTGCCAAGGCAACTTAATTGGCTAAGCTTTGACCAGTTCCACTTTTTCTTGTGGCCGACATAAACAGCCGAGTGCATTCTGTTCTAGGCCGTACGGCTCTGTGATAGTAGTGTAAAAAGGTCCCAGCCAGTTATACTTCAAGTAAGACAGTGAGGCCATTACCCAAGCAATATGACCATCGTGAGTCATGCAAAGAGCGCGGAAGACTTCCTGAGGCCGGGGTGGCTCTGCTTGGTGGCCCTGAAGACCTGCTTGAAGGGTGAAAGCCTCAGGGTGCACCATGATTCTGTCTCCATTTGAGCTTGGCACATCATAATACGCCTCCAAGCGCTTTCCAGTCGAGACAACAAACACGTTCTGCAACACAAGCAGACAGTGAGAGTCAGTTTGCAGACGTTCATCGCATTCATTTCCAGTAGTCACTGCTTGGGCTCGTTTAATGATTCCGCAGCACGAAAAGTCAAAAAGACACACCACTAACAACATATCTATCAACACGTACACAAATACCGCTACTTATGAGTACAGCTATTGTTGTCTGTTCTAGAACAGACCCTACCTCTTGAGTCAGCAGCGCATAAGCGCCATGAAATTTGTCTTCCATGATTGTCTCCACCTTCTTTCTTACGAAGTCCACGACTGCCAAAGACGTCTTTGTGCGCGAAACCTTAAAAATCGTGGTCCAGCTGCTTCCCCAAAGGTATTTCTCGTCCGCTGTGTAGAACAGAGTAATTGGGTTGGAGGCCACCATTGCCCTATTCAAAAAGTTATGGCTCAGGCGACGGCTCCCATCTGGGCCTGCCAGCGTTGTACTGCCCTAAGTACGCAACATCAGGAAAAAGCTAGTTCTTTGCCTCTAAGGCTGCTGGCGGATAATAAAAGCAAACAATTTCCGTCGTGCAAATGAGCAATTATATGGCTGCTTTCAGCTGACTTGTGCGGCACTGTTCCTGTGAGGAATTGG